AGGTCACAAATTTGTAAAAAATTACACAATAAACATTAACAAAGAAAAAAAATTATGTGAATACGGTCATAAAGTAAGTTTTCATGTAATAATTATAAAATTAATCTAAAACTCATCTAAGAACTTTCAAAATTATCATTTAAGTAATAAATATTTAAATCTTACCTTAAATTAATTGCTAAAACTAACCAAAAACACAACAATTTATCTTAACATAATCAAAATCAAACTTTTAAGGTTACAACGAAAACGTGACGTTATGAATGTTGTGGTGTTTGGTTACCATGACAACACTTTTTAAAACGCGTTCGATTGGTTAAAACACGGGCATTATATATTTGAACGGTTCCTGTACGAAATTAACGCCGTTAATTATAGATGGCGCCTCAAAACGTAAACAAACCGAGTGTTATTTTTTTAGGTTAAGATATAGAAAAAAGTTATTTCCGAATGAATTATGTACTCAATTACTTGGAAATAATAAAGAGAGCTGTTAGGTTATCAAGATTTAAGAGACAAAGATGTTATTTCCCAGCAGGTAGAAGTGAATCATTGAAAATACCAATATTTTTATATCTTTCAGGTGAATATTTGGTGGGCCGTGATGAAACATCATTTAATTCAAAAAGATTGAGATGACACACAATAAACATTAACAAAAATATCCCCAAGTTGTTTGATAACAAATACGTAAATAAAAAAATGAGCAAAGCAGGTTTACGATAACATGGAAAAACGAGTATATAAAAAGTAAAACAAGCAAAATATGCTTTTATGCTAGCATTTTGTGTTAACATGATCATTTAAAGCCTTTTTTTCATAACGTAAGTATTACGCTATATGTAATAATTATAAAATTAACCTAAAACTCATCAAAGAACTACCTTAAATACCTTAAATCAGTTGCTAAAACTAACCTAAAACCACAAACACAACAATTTATCTTAACGTAATAAAAATCAAACTTTTCCGAATTAATTATATATTCAACAATCTAAGCATTTTACTCGGAAATTCTGTCTTAAAAGTGAGGTTATGTTTAACGCTTGACGTTTTATTTTTGTAAATTGAGGTTATGTCGGTGTTTATTTATTAAAATTCGTTTTGTGTTATTGAAATATGTTATTAAAAAAATTATATGGAATAATCTAAAATTGTAAAAAGGAGTTTTTTCTTTTAAATTATACCCAAATAAAGAAACCCCAAATTAATTTTTTTTGTTGAGGTTGGTGATCCTGAAATTGGCCATCTTGCTTTATCTTAGTTTTGACAGATAAAAAAATATTTTAATGTTTAAAAAATCTTAATATAATAATTCAAAACCACCATAAAAGACGTAAAGGTCACAAATTTGTAACAAATTACACAATAAACATTAACAGAGAAAAAAACATTGTGAATATGGTCATAACGTAAGTTCTCATATAATAATTATAAAATTAACCTAAAACTCATCTAAGAACTTTCAAAACCATCACTTAAATCATAAATATTTAAATCCTACCTTAAATTAACTGCTAATTAACCAAAAACCTCAAACACAATTTTCTTAACGTAATAAAAATCAAACTTTTGAGGTTATAACGAAATCGTGACGTTTTGAACGTTGCGGTGTTCGGTTACCATGACAACGCTTTTTAAAACGCGTTTGATTGGTTAAAAAACGCGGGCATTATAAATTTGGACGGTTGTTATAGAATCGACGAAATTCACCCCGTTGATTATAGATGGCGCCTCATAACGTAAACAAATCGGGTTTTTTTTTTTTNTTAATGAAATAAGTTTTATAACAATATCAAAGAAATTGAGGTATTTTTAAATTAAAAAGTAAGTTTTACTCGGAAATTATCGTAAATATTTAAAAAAAAATTCTTTCTTAAAAGTGAGGTTATGTTTAACGCTTGACGTTTTATTTTTGTAAATTGAGGTTATGTTGGGTTTATTTTTCTAACTAATTAAGTAAAAGGAAACCTGTTAAGGACTCCGATGATATTAAATTAACATATATCTCGCTTTTATTTATTTTTGCCCATTTATTTATTATTTATAATTAACTCCAAACTACAATAAATATCGTGATTACTAATAATCCCTAATCCTATGTATATATTTTGTTCTAATTACATTTAGCCTCTAAATTTCAATGAAACTTTTACACCTCAAAATTAATATCACAATAAAAATCCCCAAATAAAAAAAAAATTATTTCCTACCTTCAATTTTATCCTTATCTTTACCGTCTTTATCTCCTTTAATAATCCGGACCATTTTTAACGTTAACACGGCTAAAATGGCATCTAAAGGATCCATAAATCCGCGTTGCATCCATTTGGGAATTGTGGTCCGAGCGTGTGCGAATCCCAATTTTTGCAAAATATAATCGATCCCGTACGGCTCTAAATACTTTCCGGCTACGCTTAAAAGCCGGACCGTCGGCTCTAAATGCCACGTTTTGCAGTTGTAATTGCGCCAATCTTTCGCGAAGATGTCCCCTTCGAGATTTGGGGGTTTCGATTTCGACGCGGAATCACCACCGCTTGTTGAAGATGTTGATGGTTTTGTTGTTACTCCTCCAAGCTAAAATAATTAAAAAATTATAAAAAAATAGTTATAGTATATTATTCGAGCTATATTATTATTTTTAAGGTTAAATTATTAACCTGAGTTGTCCACGACTACTTTTGAAATTTATTTTTTTTAAATAAATTTTTGAATAAAGTTTAAACGTCAATGTGACACAAATTCAATGGTACCAACTGCAACCAACTTCACAAGAATTTGTCAAAATTAAATGTCATTGTATGAAACGTTTTTTTTTACGAAAATTAATTAATTTATGCTTAAATCATAGGAAAAAAGGATGTGTTTTCTTAAAACAGGAATTTCTGCCTTTCAATTTGAAGTATTACTTGTTTCTTAAATATGAAAAATAAAGTCAGTGTGATTGAACAAAAACTTTAAACGCGTCTACTAACTAAGAAATTGTTTAAGATATCAACTTAATGCCCGATAACTGTTGATGGAATATGTTTTCTAATTTAATAAAGAACATTTTTTGCCCTAATCACTTTCTTCCATCTCTCTTTATTCTTAAGATATCATCAATTCTTGTCAAAAACGTCATTTTTCGCAATATTCGCTTAATGAGTAATTTAGGTTGGTATAACTGATCGATGGGATACAATTGCTTATGGAACATGTTTCCTAAGTTAATAAAGAACATTTTTTGTCTGAATCACTTTCTCCCATCTCTTTTTATTCTTGAGATATCATCATTTTTTATGTCAAAAACGTCATATTTCGAAATATTCGCTTATTGAGTAATTTAGGTTGGTATATAACTGATCGATGGGATACAAATGTTTATGGAATATGGTTCCTAAGTTAATGAAGAACATTTTTTGTCTGAATTATTTTCTCTCATCTCTTTTTATTCTTGAGATATCAATTTTTATGTCAAAAACGTCATTTTTCGAAATATTCGCTTTTTGACTAACTTAGGTTGGTATAACTGATCGATGGGATATAATTGTTTATG